AGGTGCTTCCATTTAGCGCAGTAACAATCCTTTTTCCTGCATCAAGCTTGTTTCAAGCGGAGAAGAGGATGTGGCTAATAATATAGTCCGCTATATTAAAAAGAGGAGACCTCTTTTCTCCAACAAGCGACTTTATGAAATATTATAATTTCGGAGCAGAGTTTTTTTTATGCGACAATATGGTAGGCACGACACACAAAAGTTTGCTTGGAATTACCTTGCGTTTTTTTTTATACGGTAATTGTTCGTATAAACCGTGTAAACTCTGTTGTTGTAACGTGTTTTAATGAAAGCTCTGATGCTCTTGCAATTTGTCGAAACTACAAAAGAGCTAAAGTTGGAAATGCGCGGAACCTTGTGAGCATCGAATAATAAAATTGCTTGCGCAACACAACGGACACTATATTTATTACGTCGTTTTCTCGAGTGTATACGAATTATATTTGGGCATTGTTAGTGTAATATTGTGATTATAGAGTTTGTTTCTCTCTTAATAACGTGCTGTTCTTATTTGCTACACTATCTTCCGATAATATAATGGCGGACCGAGAGTATTATACTATAACTACAGCTGCGCTTGTCTATAGACTAAACTTACATTATAAATTAGATTCTAATATTTATGTATTAAGTAGAACACCATACTAGTGATCTTGTGAGATTTATATATGTACATTTCTTATAACTTCTACGTACTTCAAAATCACACGATCATACGATAACTACCGTATTGGGAGGATCCCGATAGCCAAGATTTCTTTAGCAGATCAACAGTTGCACAGATCCCGTTTGCACAGAAAACTTTTGTACAGATCCCGATTGCACAGACATATAGATTAGTTTAGGTTAGATTCTTCGGGGAGGAGGTGCAGGGGGAGGGGCTCCGCCCCTCCCCCGCCCACATATGTACTATATCTGTGTAATATAAACGAAATATTTACTTCGCAAATGTAATAATAACGACTATGTGTAATCGGGATCTGTAGAAAAGTTCTCTGTGCAAACGGGATCTGTGCAACTGTTGATCTGCGCAAAAGAAATCTGTGCTATCGGTGCCCTGCCCTACGTATTATACGTATGAATCAAACCAAAAACTGTTTAGCGGGAAGATTTAGTCAGCGCTAAAATGACGATTGATTTATTGACATATATAATTTTCTTCAATCCGTCATATCACAGTTCCCGCTTCTTCATCACGTGTACACATGTCAAAATACTTTTCGTCGTCGATACTTCTACAGCGAGACGAGCAATTTCCAATTTCTCGTCCTTTCTTCTCGAACAAAGACCAATTTTGCACAAGGAGCAAGTGCGTCGTGTCAATCATCGGGATACCCTTATCAGCGTGTAGCGTGACATGAACGCGAGCGCTATCACACACAATCCCGACATGTAACGAGGATCAGGAAGACGCGAGAGAGTTCCCGCCGTTGTACCTACGTAGTGATCAGCGATAGCGCGAACGTCATCCGTTGCCGACCAATAGCACGTGGCGATGGCCCACCACCATTGACTCCGCCCATCAAGTCCACTCCTACCCGCAGTCGCTGCGAACGCCACTCCGCGCTACTCGCGACGGGATCCGACGAGTCGCAGCGCGAGCAGCGAGCGCACCCAACAAGCCCCCAGCAAAATCAATAGACCAATGGCTACTGGAACGCGTGCGTAATTACCGCTCGTGACGGACATTGCCTCTCTCGCCGTTGCCGGTCTTCGACGTCGGTGTGGTGGGGAAAGGTCGCGCACCCTCCTCTCCTTCATCTCCACCCTTCTCTTCATCGCCGACCCCCTGCTCCTCTGTACCGCTTTTCCGACCATGCAACGACCAGCACGGCAGGCTTCGAGCGCGGATACGTGCGAGCAGCAATTTAGCCGAATCATTCCTGTCGCATGATTTATCAACGCCAAGCGTGCGACGGTGATAATGGTAGGCTCGTGATAGTGCTCACTCTCTGTGGTGGTGGCGACGATGGTGATGGTGGTGGTTGCTGGCGATATCTTATACCGGCGCGACCCGAATAAGTCCGCGTGGTACAAAGCACCTACGATATATCTTCCGAGTTCCGATGTGTGAGTGACTCTGCGCGATATTCTCCGTCGGAGGTAATCGCGATAATCTCAATTTTTTATACGTACCATCCCCACGAGAGAGTCTCGATGCATGTCGCATCGATGTATATTCGCACCACTTTCAGGCAACTGAGTTTTTTGCATATTCTGCAATCGATCGGTAGCAGAAAGCTTATCTTACGTCCGGTAATGTCAGATACATTGTGCACAACTGTTCAAACAGAATTATTTTCATATTGGAAAAAAGTTACAATAGTTGTTCGATAATAATCATGTGTCCTCTCGTATGAGAGTAGAGGGAGTAATATTGAAACGAAAAGTCTTTTAAATTCTTTTTAATTTGCGCGAGTCTCGCAATAATTAAGAACTTATTAATTTAGACCCGCGCGAGGAGACAGCTCAACGTTTCGTGCGCTCATGCTAGAGCTCAATGGCAGACTCTGTAAATATCTATCAATAATTTTTTTTTTCTTTACGACAAATGCGAGATTTTTAATTAAAATTATTATTATTTATTTTAATTAAAAATCAAATCATAGAAATTTAATTATTTATTTTAAGTAAAAACAAAATTCTCACCGCGCGACCAGCAACCATGAATGCGCGAAACACTGACCTGTCTTTTCACGCTTGTTCGCAGATCTTTATGAATTTGTCTTTATAAATCTTAATAACTGATTAATTAATAAACTGATTATAATTAAATACACAAAAAGGAATTTTTTAATTCAGTACAACTCGCTTTGCGAGAGGTGGCACAATTATTTCTAGACAACTTATGTCAGAAATATGTGTTGGGAACTACGATAACAACATATCTCAAGTCTTGTTCTAATTTGTTTGACAAGCATTTCTCATTACGAAGTGACTATGTATTTATGAGTCTGTAATAAAATATAAGTAAAATATAGAAATGTGTATCACATATTATACCGTGACAAATTAATTTCCTTGCGTTTTCTGTGTTATCAGATTAATAACTCCTTTGATTCTGGCATTCGAACCAAGTTCTCGAAATGACAAATTACCTCGATGCAATAATTATCGGTTGTTTTCACCACATGTCTGACTCGCTAGTTTTTTCACACGACGCACGATCGCGTATTCACTCGCATGAATGATAATAACAGTCGCGAATGTTTTGCGACTTTGTGTACAACAATGCAGCACACATGTTGCGTTAATTCGCGATGAGTAATCGCGCGACTTGTAATTTGTCCGGAGAACACATGCACCGATGATTTTATGTTTTTTTCCTCTTTTGTTCTGAGGTAACAATTAAACGATTTTGCAAATTTGTAACGTAGCAACGGAAAAATAGAAGCAAAACTACTGGTTTTCGCGAGCGAATGCGAATCACTTGATAATTTGCAAAGTTGTATCGTTACCGGCGGAAAACTTAGAACAATGTTTCTCAGCCGGATAACTTTATCGTTTTTAATCGGACAATTAGCGGAAAAAAACGAAACTCGATTTATATTCAGCTCTGTTCAGATAAGTAATCCCAGACAAGACTAATCAGTCAGTAATTAATATGCAATATTCGTGCAATCTATAGTCTACTGAACAAACACTTGGAAAATACAACGTATTTGATCATGAAAATCAATATTTATGTAAAACTGTGCATAAAAATTTTATTCTCTAATAAGTTGCGTGTGTTTCATATTCTTATTTTTACAAACGCAATTGTGAATAAACTAAGAGCGTTGTCGGAACCGGTACAAGTCGTTCACTCTTCAGAAGTCACTCTTCCGAGTATACCTTACTCACATCCGACATCAGTCGTCGTATTACAGTTGTCGTTACAGTCAACAATATGCGAAATCGCATGACATATAGTTCTTTAATAACAGACAATAGAAAACAACCGGCAATTTTGAAGCAATCTAGAGACCAATTTACATATAGAATTTCAGGGAATAGACTGAAACTGGATATAATAATGCACTATTTTTTTTGTTGAATGATTCAAACTCTAATTTTTCTCGCGAAAGAGTCCGGACTGAGCAAGTAGAGTAGATATAGAATCCGTGGATCAGTCGCGTCTGATTTATTTCCTGAATGCGCGTTTCGTTCAGGATTGACGTCCGATTTTGAAATTGCACCTGTAAAACCATCGTCCGGGATCTACGACGACGATGCTTCACGCCGATTGCAGAGAAGAGCAAGAAAGAGCCGCTGTTTAAAAGCGTGGGCGAGCGAACAGATCGGTGGGCGGCCACCGAATCGCCCAATTGGTCGATCGACTCGGTAATGGTCGGTGGGCGTTAGGTAAGCTCAGATGCGCAGCGCGCTGTGCGCACTTGGCTTGCCTTTACCAGCTCTCTTTCTCTTGCCATCCATGCACCCATCCCCCACAATATCCCCCTCTGTTTCGCGATGTCCGTTCCCCACCTCATCTGTGCACGCATTGACTAGGTTCTCGCGAGGGTCTCCCGCCCAGAGATGCCAGTTCGTGGACTTAGTAAGCATTCAGCATCAAGTGGAGGGGATACGCACACAGGCGACAGCCGTGTCCGTGTGGTTGGTCAACCATTGGCCGAAGCGCCGAGCGCACACGGACACGGTTGTCGCCTGTGTGCGTATCCCCTCCACTTGATGCTGAATGCTTACTAAGTCCACGAACTGGCATCTCTGCTCCCGCCGCGTCCCTCGTCGTCTTCCGCTTCGCGTCCACCCTTTTACGATCCTGCCCGGTGCGATCAGCGGCTTCGACCGCGGTTACCTTCTTCATGTTTGCCCTTCCCCGTCCGCGTCGCCGCCACTGCGTGCCGCGGCGCCTTAAATCTTGATTCTCATCTTCCCAACGAGTAGAAGCGAGGACTTTCGTGGGTGGGGGTAAGGCTAGTCTGAGCGCGCTTCGAGCGGAGCCGAGTAGCGGAAGACAATCTGCTCGAATACGGCGGAGCGCGAGCAGGTTGCCTTGCGTAACGCATTCGCGTCCAGGTGATACGAGAAAAGCACGAGGAAAAAAAAAACGTGTTACGGTGTTACAAAGGCGATTAATAGCAGAGACTTGTTAAGGGATGAAGTGAAGAACGCATTGCCACGAGCTTTCGGTTTCTGATACATTGAACCGCAAGAGAAGCAGTACAAAATCATTGATCGCCTGACAAGAAAAGTGAGGAATGATCGCAGAAACGAAAAAGGGAAGAAAGTAAGAGAGAAAGAATAATTGGACTCGTGATTCTGGAGTAGTCCATTTTTCACACTCGGTTTCATAATCAAGAAGAGATGAGAAAATCGCGGTAATCTGCGCGCCGGAAGAAAAAAAAAGACATTTAGTAAGTGACCAGAGAAAGACGCGGGAGAAACGAGGAGTCGGTCTCGTATATAGAGCGACGAGGCAAGTCACGTCACATTAAATCTTGATCTCACCTCGGCAAGCAGCGGCGAGTTCCCGACTGTGGAGGGCAAAAGGTGGGGGTAAGGCTAGTCTGGGCGCGCTTTGAAACCTCGAGCGGAAGGCAATCCGCTCGAATCCGGCGGAGCGCGAGCAGGTTACCCCGGTGGCGTAGTCCTCGTTGCCTGTCATTGGAGAAGGGAGCCCTCGTAGGCGGAAGGAGCGAGAGAGGGCTATCGACACGCGAGGAAGAAACACGGAGAGGGAAAAGCAAAGAAGAAGAAGAGGTGGAGGACGTGGTCACGAGCTTCGTCGAAGGCGCCTGCGCTCCAACACTCCTCAGTTACTCGGCATCGACTAGGCTCAAGTATCGCGACGTGAAAGCTCGCGTCGCGATGCGTCGTGATCGTCATCGGGCGACCATACGAGAAATCATTTCGCTCCACTAATCAAATCCGCAAGGATACGTGTCCTGTCGCGTTGCGAGTTGACGAGTTCGCGATACGTGTCCGTTACCGGGAGATGCGGTGGTTATGACAATGTGCTCTCACGTGACAGTTCGATGGACGCTGATGAAGGCCAAGTGACGTTTCCGAAGACAAATGGGATTTGTGACCCTTCGGCGAACACAGCGGAAGTGTATTGAACTCGTATTGAACTTTCACCGTATTGATGTGCGTAGAAGAGGAATATCTTGGTTTGACAGGAAATCGACGAGAAACTTCGTTAACAACTTTTGTGTCCGACGATATTGTGTTCGAAGTATAATGAAGAATTCATCAATGTATTCTCGACATAAGGCTTCCGTAGTTGACTATTGCACTTGAAGTCATTGACGTTCCCATCACTCGATCGAATTCATGGAGGAGAATCGACGCGAAGCGCGGTAAAGAGTTTGTTAGATGCGAAACGAGACACAAGAGCAATCGGAAGATAGACTTGGTGCATCCCGCAGAAGTGGAGGAGGGGACAGGAGAGGGAGGAGCCGTTGCTGAGTGTGTGTGGAGGGGGCGGAGGTGAGATCGTCTGGTGATGATGATCGGTGGCGGCGTCGCGACCCCTCCTGGTACTGCCAAGTCGGCGGCTGCGATCGACAGCGAGATGGTGCAGGTCGACGGCATTGGCAGTGGTAGTGTCAGTGGCAGTGCTAGTGGTAGTGGTAGCCCTGCGACGGGCGCGACCACCACGCGGCTGGCGCACAATAACAACAGCAACAACAACAACAATAATAATAATGGAGACGTTAGTAATAACAACAATAATAACGACAGACACGCGAATTGCGCCGGCACGACTGCCCCGAGCGCGAGCGACAAGTTCTGCTGTCAAGATGAGGACGTTCTCGCCAGCACCGGTGTTACTCGGCCTTGGGAACCACCGTCGCCGACCTTTTCCCAGACGAGGTCGCACCTGCTGCAAGTCCACCCATCTCATCACCATCAGCACCCGGCGGCGCATCATCATCAACAGATCAACGTGCCGGCTTCCCTGATTGATGGTTAGTAGACCTACAGATACACTAAGTACTTTTCAAGTCCGAGTCTCTCAAATTGGATGTCATTGGGTTATTGGGTTATTGGATATTATTCAATGTGACATTGTCACCGCACGAGTCTTTCTGTCGAGTTATTTTTTTCTCATAGTCAATATAATTGACTGACTTGCAGTCAAGTAGATGGAAGTTCAAACTGAAATTGTGTGAGAAAATTAATATTTTCATCAAACTACATGTGTTTTAATTTAAGGAATAATAAAAATAAAATAATATAAATATTTTCGTTGCAGTATTACGATTTCTATTAAAAATGTTACGCACATATATATTATAAGCTTTTGGTTTTTGTTCTAAAAAGAACAGTTTTGTACGTTCCAATACTGATCGCCATAATAATCGTTCCTCGATATTCAAGATAAGACGAACGTATGCGTAAGCAATGAAGCCAATTAACTCCGCTGTGCCGCGATAAATCGATAATTGTGGGATACGTCACGCGTACTGTTTATTTTATGTCTTTCTTACAACGAAACTGGAATGGCTTTATTTCAAAAACCGTTTGTTCAACAGACTTTATCCGAACACTTGAATACGCTTTCGGGATTACCCGTAGATTAAAGGTAAAAACAATAATCGATTGAAATAACAAGGAAATACGTGGAAACGGCACTTCTGTGAAATCGTATGACAATATTGACAGTATAATAATAATTTGATAAAATACGGGTTGTCGAGCTTTGTTCCCTTGACAATATGATATCAAATCTATAATTGTTTTTCATCAGTTTACAAATTATTTTAACACGAATTACTCTCTTTTGTCCTTTATTATTTATATATTAATACGTTTATTATACACATTATTATTAATAGTATCAATTTTTAAGTTGTTATGTAAAACGTAAAACTTCTGACCAAATAATGTTAAATTAAATGGAAGTAACGTTAAAAAGACATAAGTTTCAAACCACATGTAACAAATTGCAATTAAAATCGGAATTAATAAATACCTTACATTTTCAATCGTCATATTGCCACCGATAGCGAGAAAGGTAAATATGCGGTATGTGCGACGACACATAAGCACATCGATTATATCTGTCTCGATGAGAGATAAAACCAAGTAACTAATTGAATTATGAATCGCTGCACGATTTTTTGCAGCGCGAGCCCATCCAAACGATGCAGGATGGCAACTGCAATTAACACCGAACACCTGTACAGACGAACACCTGTATAGAGGGCTCGCTCCTTGTGACTAACGATAATTGAACCATTTCACGCTTTCGAAAACATGAAAAAAATCTCAAGACTGCTGCGAAGTTTCACGAAAATTCAATCGCGACTTCAGAACTGTGATATCTACAAAAAAAAAATCGTACGATCTCGTAAAGCAAACAACATTTAGACTCGACGTAAATTCGCGCTTCAGAGATTCAGAATTGCTAGAATTAATTAACGACGTTAAAAACACACACTCGTCAAACAAAAATCGAACATTACTTCTCTTAAATATCTATCTAGGAAGACTGAGTTAATACATATCTCTGTAATTATGCAAATACGATCGGTTAACTCTTCAAATCTTCGACAAGTTGTATCGGCGACGTTTACGATGATTATCTGCGTGATTCGAGCGCGTCGTCGCGCCGTCACTTTTCGAATATTAATTAAGTTGTTAAAAATCGAATAATAAAAACCGCATATTTGTTAAAAACACACAGATCCGCGACCGTATACGTGAGTTTCGCGTAAACGCAATGAGGCATAACGTGTGGTGCGCCGCGCCCGGCGCGAATATCAAATGTTGCGTGAAACGCTCCTGCTGCTCCGGCTGCTCACCTCGAGAAACCGGGCCGCGAGTTTGCGCTGATAAGGAGATAAAAGGGTTTGGCGCGATTGGGAGCAGCGCACGTTCGCGACAATGTATCCGACTATCGCGCGCATTCGATTTCTTTCCGTGGTTTACACTTGCCCGGATGGAACACGGAGGCTACCAAGCCGTACCGCACTCGTTCGGAACCGGTTTCAATGCGCTATGGCAACGAGTATATACACCTATCTTCAGGCGGAGGTATTATTCTCGTTTAACGTTCAATACCCGTCCATCCCGCGGGTACTCTCGATTCCCCCGAGTACTCGACACCTCGTATTCCACCGCGCCTCGTGTATCCACGCTCGCGGAACACTCCTGTTCCTGCAGAACCGCGAGATTTTATGACCACACCCAAGACCATTTCGCTGGCAGGTACCCACGTAGGCAGCAGTGTCTTCATCCGTGGACAAGAAAGGAGGAAGATAGAAACGACGCCGAGGAAGAGATTTTCCGAGTTCTCCGGTGCAACCCACTTTGTAATACGTTTTGATCTGATCGCGAATTACAATCCCATGAGGCAAGAGACATACGCGGTGAAGCATGTGTAAAGTTAACACCCCGGCATTGAAATTCCACACTTCTGATTAGAGTTTCCGCTTTATTTCAAAGAGAGACTGAAACTTTTCTAGAGTTTCTCTATGGTTTCTACCATATTTTATGAAAGTGTAACACTTGACGGTGTTATGAACAATCTTCGGAGTCTCGATTGTCACATTTGTGTTTTTAGAGTTCCGAGTGCATCGGAAAATTCAGTATCGGAATTGCAAATTTTATAGTAGTTTGTATATTGAGTCATATATTTTACATATATATTTGAATTGCGCTGTTAAATATTCGCAAGTTAAAAGTTGTGGGCAATAGTACGAAATGCATGAAGTAAACCGATGCAACCCTTGGCTTAGTCTCTGTTTAACGCGCGCAGGAGAAGCGTTATAATCCAGTTTAAGACCCGATACGAGCTCGCCTCGCTGCTCTCGATGTTGCCCTCGATACCTCTCGGCGCGAGATGCCGCAGGATTTTACGACCGCACCCAGAATGTTTTGAAACAGGTACACCTGAAGGCTAATAGCTGTCTTCACGGCACTTTGTTACAGTTTTGACGACCAATCGTGAAAAGTGTCCGTGAAAAGAAATGCACCAATTACGTTCAAAATATATTACAACGCTCCGCGCTCAGTTTTGTCACATTTCAAAACGTTAAACCTCACGTTCGTCGGCATTTTCAAATTTACGATCGCAATAATCTGCATATATAATCAACGTTAATTATAATCGCGTCGTTCTTGTCGTTCGCAATGAGAAAAAAGTCTAATGAATTGTCATCTTCAACATATTAAATGCAATATAAATATGTTGACTTTATACGAGGACAATTGATAAATATCCGAATCAAACGACGTATAGATAACGACAGTAGTATCACACTTTCATTGTTCTCATTGACAAGTTTCATTCTTTGGAAAAACATATGTCAAACGCTGGTTCATTGTCTCATGTGTAGTGTTTATTAGTAATGACAGCTCGCCAAAGACTCGCTCTCAGTGATTTTTGACAAGCTCGCGCTTCAACTGTTGCAACAAACAAAATTTACGAGTTGGGCTTCGAATTGCCGCCTCATCTTATCTTTCGCCCGATACGGCCTCAACTTCCATTTATTTTCGAAGTTGTAAATAACTGATTCGGTAAAAAAAGAAAATTCCGAGCAACAATAAAGTCATCGATGTGGCTGTACTTCGGCGAGCTGTCATACAAACGTGCAATAATGAGCGTTTGTTCTTCTGAAGAATGTCAACGATAACAACAATGTGATATTACTGTCACTGTCGTTCGGATATTTGACAATCTCGTATTAATTGATTTTGAGATATGGTAAAGTGTAACTTAACGAAAGAAGATACATCATGTTTGAATTAGAATTTACGAGCGATGTGTGATAGGCGTCGAAAGAGACACTGTACAAAATGACGCGCGACGATAACGCAGTTTCACTCGTAGATTTTATGATTACACCCTCTCGATCGCGCGGCAAGTGCAAAGAAGTGGATATCTTCATTTGCAAATGAGCCCTCCTCCCTCTCTCTCTCTCAGCTGCTTCTTGGGCACCATCTCGTCACGCGGACTCCGCTAATCACCGAGTCATTACGTAAAATGCCTGTCTGTTATGTGTATCAATTATCGGCTGCGTGTGTGTACAACTTGCTCTTAACACGATATCTCTACAAATTGCATCCTGATAATATAAGATTATCCTTTTGTTAGGCGCTAGCTTCAAAATATAATTACCTTTTTTTTTTACCTGTCCTTCAATGCCTGAGTTTTACTTCGCACGTTAAAAACATTCCTACGCAGATATTCGAGATTTGTTTTCCTTCGTACAAAAGTTTATTACGTGTGATTAAAAATCATTGAATCATTACGTTAGTTCTTGTGTCAACGAACATGCGTAACGACTACGATGGTTTTTGCTCGAGATCAATCCGCCGTCTCCGGATCCAAGTAAAACCATTTATCGGAAGAGAGAAGAGAGAGCACGAGAGAGGAACAAACAACAATCCCACGAGTTTTGTCTCGAGTCTCCGCGGAGAAACAGAATCGGCCTACCAGTTTTTCTGTCTATTATCTATTACGCCGTGTCAAGCGATCGGTCTTTAGCGGCAGTGCATTTCGAATACATATGTGTACGGACGAATATATGTATGTATATGTATACGCGAGGTCTGATGCCCAGAACTCGTTCAGAACCGGTTCCCGCCTGGTGTCGATGCAACGACGGGACGCATTTCTTTCTGTGCATCAGCTACTTTCGTTTTCACGACACCTCCGATCGCTTTGACACGAAACGAGCGCGGAATGCGCGCCCGACGCGCCGTCCGCAGGCGGGAACACGGGACGGGATGTGCGAGACTCGCAGAATTCACGTAAGTTTTATTCGACGTTTCGAAGCAACTGCCGCGAACGAGATTCCACGGAAATAACTGCGGCGGCACTTCGGTTTTGCGAATAAATTCACCGCGAATATTGCAAACATATGTAATTGGAAACATTCTTTTCTCATCCCTAATTAATTCGCCGTACGTAGCTGTGTTCAGAGTATTTCTCGTATCGCGCACATGTTGTGTTAATTATTGTTCTCCCTTACGCGCCATGAAACTAATCATTCTAACTAATATTCCGATTACATGCGGTAATTCCCGAAGAGGAGTCGTTTACTAATTAGCTACGTATACTACGATACCGATAAATTGAACAAAGACGGCCGTTCGATCGCACATGAATAACAAATTGCGAACGATATGCGGGTAAAATGCTCTCTCTCGTCGTGCCGATTGGCAGTCGACGCTCGCGGCTCATAAGAATTAATTAATTAAACGTTCTCGCTATATGTAAACGAACGATCGCGCGCATTCACGGTCGGTCCACCCGTTAAAACCAGTTGAAACAACGTTGATACAAATGAGCACGACGGACCTGTTTTCTGCCAACACTGTGGATTTAATTTCGTCCGACGGGGTCTCTCCTCATCCCCACGATCGTCGAAAGTTCCTCGCGCGGAATTGGATACAAAGTAATTGCGTGCTCGTCTCGTTTGCAAAATGACAGCTATACTACTTCGCGCGCTTAATGTCGTTCGTATGTCATCCGATCGTAAATTGGCATCCGCGGACCGCGCTAATCGTCGTTCAAGATCATTCGGTAGCCCGATTACAAGAAAGTCGAGCCCGCAATAATCATGTCATAATTTCGACCGCACTCGCCTGATACGGTAATTATTATTAACGTTTTGTTTTTTTATATCTCGCGTTTTAATTCAAATTATCGTCAAGCTCACGACGCGTTTACGCTTTGAACGTGTTCGTTTTTCGGCCGATCGTCTTATTTCGTCGGATGCCGTATAATCAAAAGATGTTTCTTTTTTTCTCAAGATGTTTTTTTTTTTTTTTACGAATCAAGACTCTCTCTTCCGCAAGGCGCGATGATGGCAACACGCTCGACCGAATCGTTCGACGAATGCTTTATTACTCAAAATTAAGTGAATGATTGCTTCCGGAACGACACTTAAGATTAAGTCGACAAGTAATCCTTTAATATTGTCTGATCGTAAATCGCTAACTACGTCTGCTCAAGATGTCGTGAAGATTATTCGGCTATAAATTCCCGAGAAGGACTCAATTCTCTCTCGCGCGCGCACGTCCTTTCTCGAAAACTTATGAGTAGGATCTTCGCACACCTGGCCGGCGATTCATTTGCATCTATATAACATACAAGGCGCTCACATAACAAATTGAATTCTAGTATCCTCGACATGTGTCATGTATAGTGTCGACAAATGATGTTATCGTGTTCATGTCAAGTATATCATATATCAAGTTTGACATTATCATGTTTATGTGTCATACATAATATGTACATAATATATGTACGTCGATACAAAAAATAAACGACTAAGTGAAGAATAATTTTTTTTTTTTGCTAAACTCTCGAATTTGCATCGATTTTATCCTGTGTGCTCTGATTCCATAATATATTGTGACTAATACATCGATAAATATTATTCAAGAGCGACGATAATTCAACAAAGAGAAAAAATCCGACATAATTGATTAACGCAAAATTAATTAAGTTTTTTCACTTAAGATTTTTCACAAGATTTTGTGTCATGTATGCGAGTGTTTTTAATCGGTTTCTGTATAAAAAGATTGAATACAAAACTAATATCTCACAGTTTGTGAGCGACAGGTGCGCTTTTAACGTTCTGAAAAAAAAAAAAAAAAAAAAAAAAAACAACTTCAATAATAAGATAACGTGATCTCTTGCGGTGATTTAAATTACTGCGCTTTTGTGAGAAATCACTTGACCGTAACCAGACTTTCGTTACAGCGATTACGCAGACCATTGTCAATTTAACGAAGCACTTAATTGACTTCGAGAGAATCTCAACAAAGAACTTTGTGAAAAAAATAGATTCACTTGATTATCTCAGACCGTAAAATTATCTTCTGCGTTTGCGGAAACGCGACTTAACTCGGTTGATAATATTGAAGCACGCGTTCGTTTAATTAACCATGAGAATACAGAAAACAAGCTCTCTTCGCGTTGACAAACAAAATTTTATTTTTAATCACACGTATTGTATCTTAATGTTTTGTTGCTGTTATTATATCGCAGAAAAAACTGTGTGTTTCTCTGATTGCAGGTGTAAACTTGCAAAACTGCACAGCTGGCCCGTTTGCCAGCGGAAATAACGGAAGTGCGTCGCGTCAACGTCTAATTGAATTATCACATGGATTAGGAGCGCTAAGGCACTATAACGACCTCGCCAACCACGTGTTGTCTTTAAATCAGCAGGGCGCAGTCGTCACGAAACTTTTAGGTGAGTCTTCGTGTAAAATGTACGTCTTACAAACGAAGTCGTTTCGCGCGCCAAGAAGAGGAGAATCGCATTCACAATGTACAGACGCTCGATGTTGTACGCCGCGCGTTGTTTCTTCTTATCGTTAATGCCGACGATACAAGAATATGCAAATTATTGGGTGACATTCCGAACACGAAGAACTCTTACGTAGGGGAACTCTACTCCGTTGACATATCGCTATTATGTTCTCCACTCTATGCCTATCGCGAGTATCGAACACCTCACGCATTACGTACGTACGTACGTAATTTCGATATGAAGTCAAGGCAGAAATCACCTATCTCTTATGTACTCTCTACGCTAGTCCAAGAACATACGGAGGTTTCACAATCGATTTTCCAGAAATGAGAGAAAAATATAGATATCAGAAACATGTAAGCAAAGTTTTCAAAGTCTGAAAATTATAGATGCGCGAAAGACTTGTGTCTCCAATGTCGAGTTAAATTTTAAAATACTCTTTCTATTGCTAATTGATATCATTACGTTTTTATTCCGCAGAAAAAACGATTTGTTACAAATCGTTTGTTATCAATAATCACGTTTGAATAAATTTCTCCGCTCTGTATACGTATTTTGATAGTTTTTTTTTTCTCTCTTTTTTTTTCTCTCTCTAATAAAAATTTACAATTTGCATAATTCACAGTGTAATCTTGTTTTTGCGGCGGTCCGCGCGCAGCAATCACTGACGACTTCAAATGATGCCGCGTATCTCGAGCGCGTTTTCGAGGCAAAGAACAGGGAACAGCACCGAATACACACACTCGTAGGTCGGACTTAAACGAGCGTTATATGAAGGGCGCTCGAAGCTCGTTAGCTCGCTAAGAGATTAACGCATAATAGCCGCTTCTTTCGCACGTTAAACCTCAGCACCTCGGCAACTCGGATAATTCGTCGATAATTGCGCCGATCGTTAGTAAGTCCTCTTCCTCCCCCTTCTTGTATTTCAACGGCTTAATACGAAGAATGGCTCTTTCGCGAGTGGCGCTCTTGTTTCTCCGCACGGAATAACAGAGCAAAAATTGACAATTTTATAACTATATCTCGAAATAGAAGAGAGCTATGATTGCTCGAGCGCAAACCACGCCCTGCGCTTTCCACGGCTACTACTATTGCTCTTCGTAGAGTCCTGTAAAACCGCCATATTCCGCGAGGTAATGGACACCGGAGCGCTTTCGCCGAGGCAGGCACGCGAGTGCGATCTTGCACGCGAGAAGCGCGGTGAAACTCGCGGAAAATTTAGGTTCCGAGCGGGTATAATATCATTGGGTATCCGCAACACGAGCGAACGGGAGCTCGGGGATCCGCATTCGAGGAAAGGCTCAGCCTCTGACGAGGAGATACGTTGAAGAGAGATGTAATGTACGCGGTGAGGAAAGGAGAAGAGGGATACGCGCGCCGTGAGCAATAAAAAATGGAGGCAAGCCACCGAGCATCGTCGTGAAACGCGCCGAAGTTTCTCTCTTTCTCGTAGACCTGCCTCGCGGTCCTCGTTAACTTTACGAGCCGCTCGTAAAAATACCGTTCGGAGCCTGTTCTCTTCGCTGCGCCGCCGGTAATGTCTTCATCCCGCTGGATACCGGAGTCCTTAGGCGTATTCGAAGGTGGATATAATGTACCACATAATCGATCGACCAATTACTTAACGGCGACGAATAATTAGCGTCGGTTCGCCGACGCGAACGAGCGATTACCTCGCGATGATCTGCTAATTTAACGAAAACAACGTTTCGTTGTTCCGTTCGTCAACATTACGCTTTTGTAAATTGAAAAAAAAAAAAAAAAACAAAATTGAAGAAATACAAATTTATGTCAATTGCACTATCTTCAAAACTATGATTGTTTTTTGTTCTTCGTTGTGTCAGTCGCAAAAAAATACATAAATATATTGACACATGTAAATGATGGAAATTTCAAGCGTGGAGTAACAACGCATCATTATGATTATTGAAATAATTGGACAGCAACTTATCGGGAGGACAATGCCGGAGGCGTTCCGGCTGTTTACCTCGTAGTTTCTATCGCGACGCTCTTCATAATACAACTTAACGTCCTCGCTTCGTGTGTAATTACGCCAATCCCTCATTATCAATTCATAAAAAAAAAGAGAGAGAGAAAAAAAGATCGCTCTCGTAAACGCACGCATGCGACGCGCGTCTGAATGCGCGTCTTTTTCACCCCGCAACAACGTACGTAAACTACGTACTTGACTGACATTCATTCGCCGTGCTCGCGCGAGCGACCTTAACGAAATTGGTTCTTCGTGCGGTTTCTTTTATTTAAAAACGGCGCCGCGTTCAAAAATTTTGCGTACGCACGCACGCACGCACGTACGTACGTACATACATACATACATACGTGCACACGTGCACAAATTGAGGATAAACCGAGCGAGCAGCAATGAAAGACGCGGTCCAGGACGAAAGAAGAGAGATCAACACACTTATTGGAGAGAAAGAGGCAGAAAAAGATATAGAGAAGTTAATGGACGAGAAGAGAGAGAGAGAGACAAAGATTGGAAGAAAGAGAAAGACCGAGAGATAGCAGGTCGAGGCAAGGAATTTGCTCGCGGCATGGATACCTATTAGGTGGGTACATCGTTTATGTACCCGGCACGCACCTCACCCGTGGGAGCGCACGCGATATCCTACCGGGTTTAGTCGTCATTATTGTTATTAATAATAGTACGTAACGACCGATAATTGCTCAGGTCTGCCTGCGCCTCTGCTTTCTATTACCTCAAGAATCTATTTCTCTCTCTCTCTCTTTCTCTTCGTCTTTCCTTCTCTTCTTCGTCCGCCCAACACAATTTTTCGTGACTCTTCCGCTTTCAAACGTATCGCGAAGATACTCGGTGGCCGCGACAAACCGCGAATCAACGACGATGCGTACTACACATAGTTGTACAACGGCATGTAAAGAACGACGTCATCCTTCCACGATGAATCCGCGCGTAATTGGGGTCGGAAGGCGACTCTCGATGGAACCCTTTACGCTCGATGGTTGACGTTGATGTTAGCACGCGAACATGACTTTCGTTTCTTCGCTTCTGCCATGCCGCTCACGAGAAACGCGACAAAAACAGCGGAAACGCGGTACAAATGCAACATGTTTTGTAGTATATTATCGATAATAGCATAAAATATAAGAAAAACACATATACTGAAGTATATTTACACCATGTTGATTTCCCTTCCTTCGTTAATTCCCTTTCTTTTTTCTCTCTTCTCTTTTTTTTAAATCCTAAACAAAGTTTACCGAGAGGGAAGAACGTAACGCAACGTAATTGTTATTCATTAATCTTATTCGTGGAAATATGTGGAGTGTAAAAACCCAAAAAACAAAAAAAAACAAAAACCTTGTTAAATTTCTTTCATTCTTGTCGTTCATAAAAGGCAACTGTTTCGTAACGTTACAACGTATTTAAAACTTGAAGCGTATTTTACTCGTATCTTACGATATTCACAACGCAATCGATGATGTGCATAGCCCGTTCGTACCTGTATTACCCTATGGAGCTGTTGTGTCTCCCATGTATTCATACAGCAGGTACTAATTAATTCATGACTAATTGATCGTTGCGTTGCTCATTGTCTTTCCCACGAATTTACTAAGTAAATTATTAGTTCCCGTAGAACAAATCGAAATTATATGTTGTATATTCCAGAACCTATTTTACCGCGTTTTTTTTCTGGAATAAATATATTTTCTATTTAAAAACACAAAAACATCGGCGCGTGTGTCGAACTACGATAATCCGACGAGAATGCTACTAATTAACGGCAGCACACGAAATTAATGTTTCGAACAAGACGCGATAATTGATTTTGGTGCGCGATACAAAGTAATGGGCGCTAAAAAGTATATCGGATTATCGCAAGTCGAGACGCGCAATTATTATTACACGTACGTAAAAATAAAACTCTTCTCTCTCTCTGTATCACAATGTGTGCGTTACGTAAGATCACTCGCACGCCGTCCCAATCGCCGCATCATATGAATCTGTCCAGATACAAAGACAGGATTGATATGCGCATTTGTGTAGTGTAGCACGCGATCTTAAACGCAATATGTTGCCGTGACTTTTGTAACGTTAAATGTTCACCGTTTGCATTCACATCTTGCGTTACATCACACGTAGGTATGTTCTCGTGTGTTTATTTGCTTCGGTACATTTTGCGCACACAGGGCGGCTAAATGTTTCATGAATGGAAACAAATTACATTTAATAACAATCGCTTTTACACACACACACACATACATATATATATATAATACATGATGTTTTTGAATTATCATTCCGTTCACATCAATCACGCCTGTGAAAGATCCGTTCGGATGCCGTGCATCGCGTGATTTTCGGGAATTACGACGAGCTTCGTGATTTTTGGCGTGACCGAGCCGCCGAATAGGGCGCAAAATAAATGCGCCTTGCCATTTACAAGCGATTTTATCGGCGGATCTCAGGACTTTTGCCAATGCAAACGCGTCCTTGAAAAAATCTTGCTTTTATCGTGTTCCAGGTACGTTGCGTCCGCCCGGTCTGATCGGCGGCAGCAAGCCGAAAGTAGCGACACCGGCTGTCGTCGCCAAGATCGAGCAGTATAAAAGAGAGAACCCGACTATCTTCGCCTGGGAAATCCGGGAGAGACTAATATCCGAAGGTAAAACAAAGCAATGACGATGTTTTTTTTTTCTTATCGATTAGGCGTCCGTCGCGAGACAATCGTATCTGGAGGCGTGTAAATTCCGATCAAATTGGAATTATTTTACGCCGAATGTTTTAAGATAACGAGAGAGATAACAAATCGGTCAAACAATTACGGTTTTGCAAACGCGAAGCTATACGTACGAAGACAAGCGTTGGCTAACGATTTGATCGACACTGACATTGACTAAGATTTCCCGCAGTGCATTTTCTAGTAAACACGCTTAGTCACAAAGTCAGGTCTTCGTCAGCGCGCAAATGCATAAAGTAGCGTGTTTCTTTAATTATGCTCGTCCTCTATAAGCCATGTGAGTGCAAAACCGCCTGTGATTACAGCTGCGCGTATATGAATAACGTGTAATTTAGCGAAAGAATTAAGAAACGCGTTTCTAAGCGACCTTACTTCTTGACACACATATGTTTCTTCAAGCTTCGCGCTTAACACGTACACCATTGCAATTGTCGGCAAGAGAAACAACTATAAACGTCGCTTTTCTTGGTGTACTTTTCCACTTACAAACTTTGACGTTATAAAAGTACACGCGTTACTACAATATCGTCTATGAAAACGTCAACAAAGCAAACAACAAAGCCGCATTGTATAAACGCGGAATCAATTTGAGATCAACGAACGTCGGAAACGCAGACCGCGTTGACGGGAACGTCGATATTCGTCTGTTTCAGGAGTCTGCAGTAACGCGACAGCGCCGTCGGTCAGCAGCATCAATCGGATATTGCGGAATCGCGCGGCGGAGCGCGCGGCCGCTGAATTCGCGCGTGCCGCCGGTTACGGCCTGTACGCGGCCGCCGGTCCGCATCCGTATTTTAACTCTCATCAACATCCGACGACGAGCCATCATTTGCCGGCGGGATGGCCGACGCCAGGTGCAGCCGGGCACCCGTGGATGCTGCCGCCTCTGGCAACCGGTATTTCCGGCGCCGCGGCATCGGCTCTGCTTCTGCCACCGTCTCTGAGCCCCGGTGCGGCTGCCGCCGCTGCGGCCGCCGCGTCCGCATCCGCCGCCGGCACTTCCGAACACGCTCTTCATGCCGCCGACGCGATCGCTCGAGGATATTTGCAAGGTGACGAAGGAGATCGCGGAAGACCCTTCTTTCCGCCGTGCTTTGATAATACCGCGACGCGTGATATAAAATTCATTTTACACTCAAAAAGAAACGAAAATATTCTTAAATACGTTACATACGCGAAACTTGATGCGTTATCATCCAAAATCTTCTCCTATAGTTAATTATCTTAAATTAAAGCTTGTGTGACAATATTCACACATGATGCGAATAAACCCGAATGTCGTTGTTCTGTAACTCAGTTTTTTCGCATGTGGACACTGACCTCTTCTATTGTCCACCAATCGTTTTTTCTCATACAAGAATCACGTTATCTTTGTCAATACGTATAGATACTATAGACATCACTTTTCTCGACACTGCGTTTGTAATTTGAAATGTGGCGTAGCCCAAGCTTTGTCAGTTAGTCGATATACAAAGAGATATGTCTTGTATTACGGGTTGTACGTGAGAAACACGACCCTTAGAAAATGTGTGTGTTGCCACACAGACGGCGACGGGGACGACGGAAGTCTGGACGGTTCGGAGCAGCCCAAGTTCCGGCGCAATCGCACGACCTTCAGCCCGGAACAGCTCGAGGAACTCGAAAAGGAGTTCGAGAGATCGCACTATCCTTGTGTGTCCACGCGCGAACGTCTCGCATCGAAGACGTCACTCTCGGAAGCACGTGTTCAGGTGAGAATCTACCAATCACAGATAAAAAGATAAAGAGCCGGCGCGACGACGACGCAGGGTCTAATTTGACACTCATTAGAGATGGGAACAGGCCCTGCGGAGAACAGCCGCGTCTCGTTCCCGAAACCCCCCCCCCTCTGTCCGACTTGATCACGAGCGTTCTAACGACCTAACTCGTGACTCTTAGGTTTGGTTTTCCAACAGACGGGCAAAGTGGCGTCGTCACCAGCGCATGAACCTCTTAAAGCGCTCGCCACCACCGCCTCCACCGCCACCGCCGCAGCAGCAGCCGCCGCAGCAGCACTCCGCTACGTCCGCTATGGAAATCGGCCAGCGTACGTCCAGCTGTTCCATCGCCGGCATGGGCGGCGAAAGTAGCGCGTTCCGCGCGGTCATCGCCAACTCCGCGACCAGGGACACGAGTATCGACAGATCCGAGAGAATCGACAGGCTCGAATCGGCACCGAAACAGCCGGAGAAGAAACCAAGCGCCTTCCGGATGATAAGTCAATTGGTGGGCGAGGACTCGTCCGGGCTCTCGAGACCGTCCAGTCCCGCGTACGAGCAACGACAGGGAATCGGAGGACGTGGTCCGAGTCCGGGATCGACGCACAGAACACATTACGATCAGGACGAGGATGAGGACGAGGAGATTGACGTTCAAGACTCCGATCCGGAGGACGTCCCGTCGTCGCCGCCGGTCGCCTGGAGGGATCATTGGACTGACCAACAGCCGTTGGAACTAACGAAACACGATCGTTGAACGAGATGTGATATTCCAGTTTTGGTTTCGAATAGCTATCGAGTGACCGTATCGCGATTTATCGGGGAACACTTGTCAACGCAAACACTTGTCAATAATAATAATATCAGTGAAGTCTAATACCAGTGAAGTGATCGATATAAAGTGCAAAAGAGATGAGAAAAAATCTATCTACTTCTCATGGTGCTCGAGATATATAATTCGCGAAAAATAACGAATATATAGTAGCTAAACAAAATCGTTATTACTCGATTGACACGCGAGTGCTCGAGTGATGGATCGCATCGACAACGGGCTCTCCGTCGGCAAAAAATGCCGTCGTGAAGCGTCAGACGTGCATGCACATCAACTGTTTAACATATTTTTTCTCTTCTCGCGCGCATGTTATTATCGGACTCACGGCTCTTTATCGGTTGAAATCTTTATAATCTATATATGAAATTACTCAATACACACACACACACACACACACACTCACACATACACACACATTACACGCATAAAAAACGCATTACACAAACGATATCTATCAATTATAGTTACGTGTTTGCGGGCTCTGCGTAATATTAAAATGCAATGTCAATCAGTGTCACTAGAGAATAATTATCGTTGATTAGATAAGCAATCCATGCGTATCGCGTGTGACAAATACCGTTAGTTCGCTCAAATCTGTCTCCGGAGCCGCTTGTTTGAGTCGAGATAATAATGAAGTTACGTAAACTTGAGGCAAATATAGTGAGGTTGTTCGAGCTCATTCGGAACTAGTCCTAGAGAATCATTACGAGAAGTTAGGGGAGGGGGTCTGTGCGTTATCTAGATATTTCAAAATAGAAGTAAGCGCCAGAAGAGAGCGCGTAAATAATAATTCTAATTCTCTTACGCGAGCTGTCTGTTAAAATAAAAAAATAGAAATAATGTTTATTTAAAATACGAATTCGTTTGTACATACGAACACGTTCACACAAACTCATTCTCTATTGCAAACTCTCTTCCGAATTTTTGTTGTTGTTGTTGTCCAATTATCCCTTCGACAGGCAAATAATGTTTTTCGACGATCCATCCAAATATTCGCACAACGAAGAAGAAGATATATGTTACATTGAAATAAATTTACATTTAAAAAAAAAAAAAACAAACAAACAAACATTTTTATTTTATTCGTCCGACCTATTTCGTTTTTTTCCTTCCTCTTATCGTCAGCGAAACAAAAAGCCGCGCGGAACAATTCAAATCAATCAATCGCTTGTCTTACAAACATCTAATATATTTATATCTTTACTGATTTACATTGAAATTGCCATATCAATATGTAATATCGCAGTAGCTTCGGGCAAGTGCCCCGCGATTTATGCTCCGTAGCAATTATCCTCGACGGAGTGATATACATTTTTTTATCTATACGCGTGTGTAAAGATATTCACACACTATATGTGCGTGTTTGTGCGTGCGTGTGTGTGCGCGCGAAGTCTAACATACTTTCTGCACTTATTTGCCGTTTTAAACAGCTCGTAAATACCGATGTCGATGGATATTCTCTACATACACGCGGCCGCGTATATCTGCTTTAAACTATCGTTTTGTCAACAACAAAGAGGAAAGGAAAACGCGCACGTGCAAGAAAGGTAAAATTGCCAATAGTTATCTCCTGTTTAATGTTCCATAGAACGCGGTATACGTACGCATGAGTGTGGCGATTCCCTTATCTTACCGTCTCACTTCCTGAAAATTGAAGATTTCATGCGTGAGTTACGTGTCACGCGAAAATACCTGCGCGTGTTGTTCACGTCACATTTATATTTCCTCGCGCCTCGAGATTCTCTTATTAAAAAGCTGTTACACAACGTTATAGACCTTATAAACTTTGCTTCTTGGTTTTTCTTTTCTTCTCCCCTCGGACGAAATGTGTCAAGTTCCACTTGGCGGCGCAATCGAGACAAATTCATTCCCCGGACAGACGTCGTCGTCGTCGTCGACAAGTAGGTAGGTGTACGCACTTCTCGAGAGACCACTCGAAGGCGCGTATCCGAGTTGTCGAAGGATGCGCGCGCGGGGACGGGGGCGAGGAAAAAGCGCGCGAACGAGGGGAAGGCTCATCGACGATTAACTCGAATCTACGGTTCCGTCGGTCTCGCAAATAAGGAATCTGCGCGCGAAACTGGTTTCTTCGCCGGGCGACACTCTCTTCTCTCTCGGAATCGCTTGTTGCCGTTGAGAGCACGAAAACATTGGATCCGCCGACATTTCGGATATCGTGGCCCGCGTCAACGGTCAGCGCGAGCGGCGAATTTATGGCCACGCTCGGCTTCACGAGGCGAGAATACGCGCACGGTAGGACCGGGAGGGCAGACGCACATAGCCGGGATCCGAGGGTGGGCAGGTGAGACGAGGCGAGGCGTGCGAGCGGAGGCGAGATTGGCGTCGCCGGGCATGTAATACGAGCGGACTCGTTAATGGCGTTAACACGACGAATCGACGCACCTTTTCACGCGCACATCTTCTCTTTTTAGGTCTCCGAACGAGAATCCTTCGGGGGGGGAGAAGAGAGAAACCCCCTTTCTCTCTCTCCTTCCCAGATTCTATATTTGCGCGTGAAGTGAAACGACTTTGACAGTCTCGCCGGTTCGAGGTGCAAAGACACGAAAGGTGACCAGGGTTCTGGTGAGGAAGCCACGGCGCGTTGCAGGACACTGTTGTCTTTTCGTGGTATATGGGAACTTGCGGATTCAAGAGCGCGTTCAAGTAATTCGAGCCGTTCGAAGGAGGACGGCGGAGGAACAGGTGGAGGATGACCAATAACGAAACCAGAAATCCTGAATAAGGGATAGCAATCGCGACGCTTCTCTCATTGAAGGGAAGAAAGTGGTTTTCTCTTTTGAAATACTGGTCGTGAATAAAATAGAGTGTAATAATTATGACACGTGAGAATAAACATCTCTAGCTCGTTTGTTACGTTTACTCACTTAATTAAAAATCGTTTGTTTAATTTTTTCAACGGATGTTTCCGTCACTTCATCTCTCCTTCAAAGTTTTTCGAGTCCCAAGTCGCGATTCAGTCGCCGCGCGTGTGATTCCATTCATCTGCCATTGCTATATACACACAACGCTAGTAAAGAGGTCCGAACACAAACAGTCGGCAGACGAGTGGCGAGACAGATATCGGCGGCATTGTAGCGCCAACAGACTCGCCGAAGGCGTTAATACCGGTGGTGGGTGAAGATCGGTCGGCAACTCCCGTCGCGAAGAAAAGAGCCGGGACGCGCTGCACACACGCACGTAAAAAGAACAGAGGAAGTGGGAAATAGTACGCGCGAGAAGGACGGTATGAGTGTTCAGGTGGACGCTCGTCGGACACGCTCCAACGGATCGGCCACGGGAAAGCAGAACGTAACAATTACTATCTACGCCCGATCGGTGCGCGCGGCAAGATTAACGATCTTACTCTCTCGGCGGGCACGTCGGACCCATCTCGGCCGCGATTGCTCACGAGCAAGGGGCGAAGGGACGAAGGAGCGCCGACGTTAAAGTCACCTCATCCTTTGCTCAATGAGATATTGCCTGCCGAGATAGCGCGTCTTTCTCGCGCGGCTCGCTCGCTTCCACCACCGGCGTCTTTCGCTCGCACGTTTGTTCGAATCGGCCTCTCGTTCGCACCCGCGCCAGACGTAATCACGCACAGTCCGCGGTAAGCTCGAGCTGAAATATTCGGTTAACGAGAATTAGGATGAAGGGATTAGCGCCAGGCAATATCGGTAGTGCGTTAAGCCATTTCCCGCGTCGCGTTCGTTTGGGAGAAAAAATATTTACCTGTTCCGCGTGCGTCATAAAGAGAAAATAAATGCGAACGTTTTTTTTTCCTTAATCGACGGAATCACTAGCGCTGATCTCACACTCGGTGTGCACTAAGAAGAAGTGTTTATGCGGTCGAACGAGTGCTCGAAGATTTTTTTCACAATAAGCTTTCTTTTTTGAAAGGAATTAGAGAAACACAATTCGGCATCGCGCAGAGATTTCTCGCGGCAGGATTGTGTAAAATACAGCACTTTGCTAATAAACAAAGTGGCTTATGTAAAAAAAAAAAAACGCATCCTCTCAATTACACGCAAGATACATAAATGAATCGCGGGTTGTGATATGTAAAAACATTCGAATGTACATACGAGCTCATTATGTCGATGTGTCGAAAATGTCGGATCGTCTCAGAATGACGGTTGCTCGTTGCTGTGAGGATCCAGAAAGAATAAGAAGGTGGTTTGACAAAGAGACGAAAGCAACGAAAAAAGAAAGAGAGAGAGAGAGAGACAGAGAGAAAAGGCGACGGCATGGTCCGGCAATAATACGCGAGAAATCGTGAATTAGTGAGAGTCTTTTTGAGCGTGCGGACGGAGAAAAGGAGTGCCCGATGATTTCTCGCCCAATTAGAGTCGACCGGGCTATAAACTTCCCCGTGGATAAGATAGGACCACGGTATTCTGTGTTCCCGTATCCGAAGCGAGAGAGAGGGGCCCGTAATGTCCCGCTTCAGCCCGGAAGCCTTCCAGGTCGCATATAGATCGGGAGTCCGGCTCGGGGTAGGAGAACGAGGGAGAAAGATGGAAAGAGAGAGAAAGAGACGGATACCGGGGAGACTTAGGCGGGCGGGAGTGATGAAGAAAGAGAAAACAAACGAGGGGAGACACACGCGAAAAGAAAGATTAACTGAAAGAAATAACAAAAGAAAGAGTAAGAGAGAAAAGTGCGGGGAGATGAGTGCGGGTGAAAAGGAAAGGGTGAAGAAGCGCTGTGGTGTGATGAGGACAAGAGAGAATCGAACGCGCGAGACGGGGGAAGAGGGTACCTGAGCATTGGGACGGAGCTAATTGGCTCGTCCACTGCCCATTGAAACCGCCGTCCTGATATCGCCTTCGATCCACAGCATATATACGTGCCAACGTTTCAGGACGATCAATTAAATGGAAATGGTCGGGAGATATCCCACCAGAAACAGACGTTCTCACACGTTTCACGCTCCGCCGGGTTAACCTACGGCGACCGCGGCCGGATCGGCGGCGCGGCGGCGCGGCATCGCCCAAAAACGACTCCCGGGATTTTTTTGGTACGAAAGAGAAGGAAATAGAACGAGTGATTTTGGGCGATCGCGGTCGCGAGCATCACGCTAACGACTCAACGAGCTGTGAGCATAGAATTTTGATCGGGAGAAGAACTTACAGATGTGATTACGTCGAGCGACGCGCTTCTGTCGCGAAGAAAATATGTGAACGCGCAAGCACGTATGTTTACATATTTAGCGCAAATCTATATTCTAAAAATCTAATATTAAATAATAGAATACACATTTACATACGTAACTGCCGATGAGAAATAGTTTCTTGAGTAAAAAATTACATTATATTAAATAAAAATATATATAGAGATAATAGTTTTTTTTTTTTTTTTTTAGCGCGGTTGATGCTTTCATACATCCTCGTAATTTAATTGTTAGAACATTACGTGTGCATATACATATCATACATAATTAAGTTAATGTATTTAATACTCTATAGCATGTAATCTTCTTATGGAAGCAGCGTGTATGTGTGTAATTGTAACTCTTTCGCGTATAATGTCTACTTACGCGTAAATCTCTCTCAATAATTTCTTAACGGAATAATGACTCAACTAGCGCGCGAGTAATCTTATGCATAGTGAAAATCAGAGACAATTTTCTACGAAATAAATTTCTACTTAGCATTTAATAGCACATATCCTACTCGGTACACCTCAATCGACGTATCTAAATTATTATTATTGTTATTATATAAGTACATATGTATGTACATGTCTAAGAAATTTTTCAAAAGTGAGAATTCCTACGAAGCATTTCACACTCTGCGAGAACTTTATACATACATATATATATACATATATATATACATATATCCACCGAGATATCTCAAATTATCTTTATATTCCCACACGCACACATACACGCACACAGTATTGTCATACTTTATTTGTCCTATTTCTCCGAAGACACATCTCTACTCAGAGAACACACTATGCTATGTCGTCGTGATGTATCACATCAAGATTCGACAATGTACT